CATCCACTGGGCCAGAAGTTACCTCTAAGAAGCCTCCATACCCTGCACTGGGCAGACTTCCCTTCCCTGGTGTTAGGGCCCCCTACCAGGTCCCCCAGCCAGGGAAGCAGAAGTGTCATTGGAGATAAACCCAGGTGCCCCCAGCACCTGGAAAGGACTCCCAGCCCCTTTCCCCAACTCCTTAGCACCCCAGGCAGCCACGGTGCTACACTCCTGCAGAGTAGAAAGAGCACGAGTTTTGGCGTGAGTCAGACCTGAGTCAAATTTCAGTCTCCCTGTTCTCTGGCTGTGTGGCCTTAATTATATTACTTAACTGGTCCAAGCTATGGCCTTGGAGGGAGGCTGTGAGGTTTACAGATGCGATATCTGGCACATAGAAGATGCTCAATAAACGGTAACAATTATCAGGGCTTCCAGGAACGGTTGAGCTTGGTGTGTACTGCACAAATAAATGCACCACACCTGTGACATTCACACCGTGGACCTTGTAGATGGATACATTTGCTGTACAAGTTTTCGGCAGATAACGGTAAAATCTTGTTCTAACAAAGTCATTATAATCTACTTTTCTGATAGGTGGAGGAAAGTGTTGGAGGAAGGGGTGACTTTTATTTATATGAAGTTACCATGTATGTTACTGGCAGCCCTGCCTGTTATTAATCCTCTCTTCCAACTACGGATCTATGTCTTTTCTGCTTCCATAGACCTTAGTTCTTGAGACAGTGCCAGCCTTAGTGGCCCGGAGATGCTGGCAAAGATGGGACAGGGCCTGGGGATGGGTCCGCCAGAGCCAGAACCCAGAAGGGGCCGCAGGTGTAGAGCATCCCCAGCTAACCAAGTCTCTTTCTTGCCTTGTCTCTTCTACAGGTGAACATGGTGGTCTTAGGCAAGTACCTGGGCATCCCCAAACCCTACGGGCCCATAATCAACGGCTGCTGCTGCCTGGAGGAGAAGGTGCGGTCCCTTTTGGAGCCTCTGGGCCTCTGCTGTACCTTCATCGATGACTACTTGTCCTACCACGAGCTGTGTGGAGAGATCCACTGCGGCACCAACGTGCGCCGGAAGCCGTTTCCCTTCAAGTGGTGGCACGTGGTGCCCTGAGCCTGCTCCCCACACGCCATCCTCTCTCCCCACCTGCCAGGGAATTCCGCCAGGATAAGGAACCTCCACCTGGCCTCCATCCTCTTGGGGGAGCCTTGGACGCTTCCCCCTGTGTGCCCGCAAGTGTGCTGGTCACCGTGGGTACCAGGATACAGGGATGGACACCACACATCCTCACCTCTGGCGTGGCCTACAGGGCCTGGGGCCTGGGATGAGAGCCCTGGGTCTAGGCCACTGGTGGCTCTTGTAAGACCAGGAAGGGGGATTTGGGCCCCCTTTTTCCTTTTCTGGCTATCTTCTCCTTCAGGGGGCCCCCAGGCTGTGATCTCCTAGCACTCCTCAGCCATATTTATGTAGGCGAATAAGGGCAGGAAAACTCAGCATCTGATGGCCTGTTTCTTTTTTTGTTTTTAAACATCTTTATTAGAGTATAATTGCTTTACTGTTTTAAAAAGAAAAAGCAACAACCCCCCTTTAATACCTGACTCCCTCCTCAGAAGGGTGCCTGTTACCTGTTTGGAAAGCCTTTAATTACGCGTGCTGGCTGCTTCCGGCTCACAAACGCTGAGAGGCCAAAGTGAGGCCCGAGGAGGGCGCAGGGAGGAAGGCTGGGCAGGAGGCGAGGAGGCCAGGACGGCAGAGGAGCTGAGGCACGGGGATAAAACCTGGGACCTGGCCTCTGCGCCCTAGGCCTCCCAGGCTTTAAGTTTTGGACTCTGGATGTGATGGGGTCTGGCTGTTCCAGATGCAGCAAGGAGAGGGGGCCTAGATGTTAGAAGCGGGTGGGGGGTCATTAGGTTATCTTTGAGGGTGGGGTTTAATTTCCTTTAATAGTCTTTCATTATTCCCCTTCGTTCTGCCGGCAGTGGGAGGGAAGGCTCGCCCAGTCTCTCTCAGCAACTCAGAGACCCTGCATGTAGCTTGGGTTTCACCTGTGAGTAAAGCCCCGTGGCAGGCCTGTGTCCCCTCCCACAGAAGGCAAGGCAGAGCTGCCACGGGAATTTAATAGCCTGGGCCCAGGTGAGGTCACCGGGACGTGCACAGGCAAGCTGGCTTGGCCGGTGCAGGGCGAGAGGTGGCCCCTGCCCCAGACAAGCGTGGGCAGGAGGGAACCGGCCGGCCTTCCTCTCCCACAGCCTCTGGGCCTCTACCTTCTGGGTTTTCTCCCTGGCTCTCGGTGACATTTAGATTGAGCCATCTGCCCTTAAACTCTTCTAGCTGTGGAACACTCAGCCATCAGAGGCTACCACGGAGGCCCAGCATGGGAAACTGATGAAAACGGAACTGCTCTGGTTTAAGGTGGCGGGGGTGGTGTACGAGGATCCTCCCCTTCCCGGAGGTTCTGGGGAACCCCGTTTGCAAGCCCCTGGTCTAGCCTGTGCACTTTCTGCTCATAACCGTGATGCCCCTTAGACTGAGCCAAGAGGAGAAGGGATCTCTTCGGCGGCCAAGGATGTGCAGCTGGGGTTCCCCAGGGAAGGCGCTGCGGGTGGGAGGGGAGTGGCGTTGAGTGCGGGGAGCTCTGGAATTGCTGCTGGGCTGTTTGCGGGGGGTTGCTGATGTTCCCTCCGAGAATGTTCCAGGTGACTGGTCACCTCCTTTCTGATTAATAAAAATGTCAACATGCATTTCTTCAAGTGGCTGCCTCCTTAGCTTCTGTTCGTTGGGCCGTGGGGAGGAGGGGAGGGAAGCGGGGGGAGAGGTGCTCTCAGTTGCACCCACAATGCTACCAGCTCCCTGGCTCAACTTCCACTGGCCATGGGCAGCTCCTACCCAGCTGGGAGAGCCCCCAGGGCCAGTGCCAGGCAGGCAGGCAGATGCAGCAGGATGGCTGGCACACGCCCATTGCCGTGAGGCTGCCTGCCCTGCTGAGATGGCTATGGGGGAGGGTGGTTCTTATCTCTTCATCCCTCTCCCTTCCCTGGTCTATCTCCTCCATCTCTCAGAGGGCAGGCAGGCTGGGCCCTATTGGCAGAGTGGGAGAGTCCCCAGCAGGACTGGTGCCCAGGGCCACAGGCCAATATAATTCCCTTGAATTCCTGCCTCTAAAGCTACTAAGCTACCCAGCCTCAGTGGTCTGATTTCAGGGACCCGAAATTATCACCCCTCTCATCCTACACACTTGGTGCTGCCTCAGATGGCTCCCCTGACACTCACTCACTCACTCATTCACTTTATTTTAGATTTGTTGTGGACTAAGAGGCAAAAAGTTGCTGCCCATCAGTCATGGACACTTTAGTCTGAATGAACCACCAATCTCTTTCTAAAAGCTGGCATGTAGTAACTGGGGAGAAGTGAAAGCATGAGTCTACTTCCAAAGGGAGATCCAGGGCTCTGAGCTGGAGGCTATCCTGTCGCCATCACAGTGGGCCAGTGCCCAGAGAAATGCCCCTGCTTCTGTATCTGTTCCCCAGCTGTGCCCACAAACAGGCTATGGAGCCTGCCTGAGGCTTCCTCCTGAACTCTGACTCTTACCCAGAGCTGAGTCAGCCCCCGAGCCGTTTTACAGCCAAAAAAGTGACGCTGTCCCTGGACCCAGCAGCCCAGCAGCTCTCCTTGAGAAGAACATCGTTACCAGAACCTGGGATATAGGGGTGCCAGTCTTAGAGTCTTGCTGAGATCCTTGAATTGGTGTGAATGCACTAGCCGGGGACTCTGGGGGAGCAGATATTGGTCCTCACCCTGCCTCAGATTGTCAGCGTCACCGGGGAGGAGGGAGGAAACCTCTGTTCAGCACCTTCTGAGCCTTGCTGGACAGGGTGTGTCCCACCATTATCTCTGCCAGAGCTGGTGAGTAGCCACATTTTCTACGGATGCGGACACCAAGGCTGCAAGAGAGGGGACACAACCCTCAAGGCCACACAGCCGGTGCCTGGTGGCGCCTGGGTCCAGACCTGAGACTCCTCTCCCCAGAGCCCTCGCTCTTTCTGTTTCAGGTGGCCGAATGCCCCTCTGGGCTCAGTTTCCCCACCTAACGAGTGAGCCTTCCTACTCTGACATTCTAAGCTCCTGGCCAGAGAGAGTTTCCACCCTTATCACTCACTCTTTCCAGAGGCTTTAGGCATCTAACAATAATAACAATAACAACAACAACAACCATAATAAAAGAATACTGAGCTCCACACTAGAGCTCTACCCACGCTTTCCCCTTTAACCCTCATAACAACCACTTTTCAGATGCCAAAAGTGAGGCACAGAGCAATTAAGTGACTTGCCCCTGGTCACCCAGTCAGGATGTAATTGAGGCAGGGCTGAAATCCAGTCCTGCCTGCAAAACCCATGCTCTTAAGAAAAAAGTTGGTGTTCCTCAAAGTGCCTCAAAATGCTATAGGGGTGCTTGTAAAAAAAAAAAAAAAAAGACTCCAGACACCAGGCTGCTTATCAAATTGGAGGCCAGGCCTGGGAATCTGCATTTTCATCAGTTCCTCCATCAGGATAGAGAAACTCCCCACTAAAGCAATGATCTCTGAAAATGCAGAAAAAGGGGTGAAGAGGCTGAGTGTGGAAAGCAAGAAAGGTCCCCTGATCCATACCCTGCACCTCTGCACGCCCCCCAGGGTCCTGGTGCCTTGGCGAGGTACTTACTTGCTCCCCTTAAAGTCAGAAATTAACTCTCTCTGCGCCTGGGCGGGAGCAACAGGTTCATATGCAAATATTGGGTTCCTTCCGGCCAATCCTCAGCTCTTGGCTCTGGGAAGGGGCTGGGCTTCCAGGACTGGAGCCAATGAATTAGCATCTTGGGCTGGAAGGGAAAGGCCAAGGGCTTTTATTTATATATTTATTAACATTTTTATTGCAGTATAATTGCTTTACAATGGTGTGTTAGTTTCCGCTTTATAACAAAGGCTTTTAAACCACATGCCAGGGGTTTTGTGGCCCAAGCCCAGCCCAAGGCTAGCATGTCTCTGCAGAGGATCGTGCGAGTGTCCCTGGAGCATCCCACCAGTGCTGTGTGTGTGGCTGGCGTGGAGACCCTCGTGGACATTTATGGGTAAGAGCCAGAAGCCTGGGGGTTTGCAGGCCCCCGGTGCTGACCTCTTGGGCTCTCCCTGCGAGCTGTGTGGGGCTTCCTCAAGGCTCAGGCCTGACTTGGCTGCCCTCTCCTGAGCCTTGGCCTTGGCATAGCTGTCAATCATGGAAGCTTGGGTCCTCATCTTTCTCAGCCAGGCTTCTTAAAGAACCCCCGCTAGGGGATGTTAAGTGTGGGAGACTGAATGGGGGTAGAGAGGCTTCTACTCACTAGATGCTGGTAGCACACCCCGACTTATGACAACCAAAAACATCTCCGGACGTTGCCAAGTGTGCCCTGGAGGGAAAATCACACCCTGCTGAGAACCAGTGTCTCAGACTAAGACTTTAAAAATTGGAGTGAACTTAGAAGCAGAGATGGGGTTGGTCCCAGGGCATTAGATGACAGGGGGTGAGGAGCTGGTCATGGGAGGGAACCAAGTCTGGAGCAAGCCCTCCAAGCTAGTAGGAGGAGCTAAAGCCCAGTTGAGGGTGGGTGGGCAGTGAGGAGTGGGAAGGGGATTCAGCTGATCCTGAAGCAGGTGGCAGCCACAGAGGGGTGATGAGGGAGGAGGTGTACCTGTGCCGGCTGGCACCGCTACCTCCTCCAGGGCTGTGTGCCCACGGCTGCCTCATGCCCTGGCTTCCTCACGCCATGGGGCAGACGTGTCTCTAGTTTGACCTGCCCCAGGAAGCCCGGGGGCTGGTTCCTTCCCTGCAGACCTTCCTAGAGGATGGAGGAAGGATTTGGGCCACGAGAGGCAAAGGCAGCAGTATCTTGGGGTGTTGTGGATAGATGGGCCACTTTGGGGTTTGCAAAGGAGCTGTGGGTGGGACAGTCACAGGGCGGGGGGTGGAGTGTCTGGCACCCTCACACGGGGGACCCTCGGGCCTCCAATAACCAGACCACATTGGGGATGGGGGAGAGCTCCTAGTTTGTTCTTTCACACATTCATCAAGTATTTCAAGTATTTTGGGGGGGTCTATGGCGTGCCAGGCATGGGGACACAATGGTGAGCAAGCAGGCGTGGTCCCTGCCCTCTGAGAACCCTGTCCTGCAGTTCTAGCAGAGGCTGGACCGCCTTGCAGGGGTGCTGTGGAAAGGATTCCGGTCTTGCAAGGGGAACGGGACTGGACTAATTCTAAAGTCCCTTCCGGCTCGGAGATACAGTGATTTAGGAATCCTTGGTGCTCAGACTGTGGGCCAACAAGAGAACGGGCACTGGGCATGGTGGCTTAGTCCTCGCTCTGCGATCTAGCAGCTGTCTGACCTTGGGAAAGTCACTTAATCTCTCAAGTCGCTCTTTCTTCGTCTATAGAATGAAGGTCATCATAGTATCAGCAATGATACTTAGAGGCTGCTCCATGCCAGTCACTGCCCTAAAGGCTTGACATATGTTAACTGATGCGCACAGCCGTTCTGTGAGATGGGTACTGTCTTCATCCCCATTGCAGAGATGAGGAAACTGAGGCACAGAGAGGCTAAGTCACTTGCCCCATGTCACACAACCAGTGAGGAGAGGCAGAGCCAGGATGCAGCCCGAGCACTTTGGCCTTCACTTCAAAGGGCTATTGGGACGATTGAATGAGATTGTGCATGTAGTGCACGTAGGCGATGGCTGGCATATGAACATTCGATTATGGTAACTGCTACCATTATAACCACCATCATCATCATTTTAAGTATCCTTCCTGGGTCTCTAGACAGCCTCAAGCGTCCCCAAACCTGCCATCCGCAAGATGGCTGGGGAACAAACTCTGAGCCATACTGGGAGAAGGAGGAAATGGGAAAAGAGAAATTAACACAGGCTGAGCAGTCAGGGCAGGCTTCCTGGAGAAAGGGCACCAACCAGAGCCTTGCAGAATGAGCAAGACCATTGGGGCTCTCTGATCACTAGTGGATTAAACCCTGTCTTCCTTCCTTCCACTGAGCTGGAGATGGCCCAGACTTGGTGAGGGTGTTTTGCTCTCCTGAATACAGATTCTTTTTTTATTGCGGTACGCGGGCCTCTCACTGTTGTGGCCTCTCCCATTGCGGAGCACAGGCTCCGGACGCGCAGGCTCAGTGGCCATGGCTCACGGGCCCAGCCGCTTCGCGGCATGTGGGATCTTCCCGGACCGGGGCACGAACCCGTGTCCCCTGCATCGGCAGGCGGACTCTCAACCACTGCGCCACTAGGGAAGCCCCTGAATAGGGATTCTTAGGGAGGAGGGTTAGGAAGGGTAATACACAGGTGTGCTGAGCCACGCATCAGATGTGCAGCCAGGGTTGAGAACCGCTGCCCTAGCTGGAAGGGCAGACAGCTCACCCCTTGCTCAGCAGAGGTGGTCTAATAGAAGGAAAAGGCTTGGGGCACTGGGGGCCAGGAACCCAGAGTTTCGGCCCTAGCTCTTTCACCCTTTGCTATGTCATCTTGAGTAATTTTCTGCTCCTTCCTGGGCCTCAGTTTCCCCATAGGTACTCTGAGGAGGTTGGCGTAGAAGAGTGGATTTCAAGCTCTGCTCATGGAGGCCTCTGAGCCTCCTCCCTGGTTTGACAAGGCATCTCCCCTTCTGTCTCTACCAGATTTTGTTTGCTGTAAAGCTCCAACCTGCCTGTGCAGAGAGCTGGGCTCTGGGAGGTGGACGCATCTTTAACTCTCTTAACTGCTTGAACTTTGTAAAAAGTGTTTGTGTGACTGCCATTTTCCGGGGGCAGGAAGACGTGGAATTAAGGAGGGGCAGTGACTTCCTGAACTGTGTTCTGTTGGTGAGGCCAGTGCAGTCGGGGATCTGGGAGCCTCACTGAAGAGGGAGGGGCAGCTGGTACCCAGAGCCTGAACTGTTGGGGCCTTGGTCTCCTCGGCTCCTATGGGCCAATTTGCTGGGGACCTTGGTGGTCAGCTTGTCAACTTTCCTGTTTTCAGCCACAAAGACCTTTGCTGTCAATTTCATGGCTCTGAAATGTCTGATTTTGTTTTCCCAGAGGTGGAGGCCCTGAGCCCTTGAAGGGAGAGAGTGGGTTTCAGTTTGCAAGGGAGTGGGGACAGAACTGGCTGTGAGTCCTGGCTCTGTCACTCACCAGCTGTGTGACTTTGAGCAAGTCACCTGTCATCTCTGGGCCTCAGTTTTCTTATCTGTAAAGTGGGGAAATAGTACTGACGTCCTATGACTAGGAGAGCCGTCTTCATCACCCTTGTCGCCACCATCATCCTCACCACTGAAGGGGTGGCACGACTCTAAAGGAAGACCTGACCTGTCTTGATTCCCAGGAGGGCGTGAGCTAGCATTGAGTCACTCCCACACTCCCGGGCGACCAGGGTGCACTGTTTCTGAGACAGTCCATCTTTAGCCATGGTCCTCAGACTTCACTGGGCATCAGTGTGGTTTAAAATGCAGGTTCCTGAGCTCTGACTGCAGAACTTATGGTTCTGGAATCTGCATTTTCAACAGCTAGATCTGAAGTTGACCACTGTGAGGGTGACCAGCTGTCCCAGTTTGCCCAAGACTTTCTAGGTTTTGGCATGGAATGTCCTGCACCCCAGGAAATGCCTCAGTCCCTGGCAAACCAGAACTGTTGGTCATCCCATCATGTTTTCCCCACTGTGCACCAGCTCCTAGGCTGGCTGTACTACTGGATCAGTTGGGCCCTTGGGCTGGCTAGAAGGGGCTCAGGGCTGGGGAGGGTCTTGGACTGTCCTACTCATTGGGAGAGGACGAGGTCCCCAGCCACAAGTGCCTCTAGGACTGGGCTGGGGACGCTGTCTAGAGCAGCATGCCTCACTCGGGGTGGCCTGGCTGGAGGAAGAACTTCATCCTCGTGAGCCTCTGGCCGCTTTCCCTGTCCTCCAGGAAATGGGGAATCCAGATCCTCCTGTACCTGACGCAGCCTCTCCGCCTAGAAACCTCCCCTTTGATCTTCCTAACACGCGGCTGCAGGATGGAGCATGAGTACGAGACTGGGAGTCTAGGGCCCTGTCTTCTAGTCTCTCCTCTTCTGGGCCTCAGTTTCCCCAGCAGTGAAATGAGGGCATGGGTTCAGGTGCCTCCAAATTTTACTCATCCCCAGTGTTTACTCACACTCCTTTCGTCTTCGCATCACCCCACTTTATAGATGTAGACACTGAGGCACAGGGAGGCCAAGTCACTTCCTCAAGGTCACACAGCAAGTGAGTGGTGGGGCTGGGATTTGAACCCAGGCTTCCTGCCCCCAGAGTCCACAGGCTCAGCCACCTCGTCATGGTTCCACTGTGTTGCCTCTCCTAATCAGGAACCATCGCTGGCTTCCCATGACATAGGGGTGAAATGAAAATGAGCTCGTTGCAGCCTGAGTTTGCACTTGACCTCCTAAGGCTCTGCAGTGGAAACCCCTTCCCCTTAGATGTGTCTCCTCCTTGTCCTCGGCTTCCCTGCCTTCCTCCGGGAAGCCTTCCCCAGACACCCCAGTACACCCTCTCAAGCTGCTCCCATCCACCCATTTCCTGTGCCCTAATTTACCCTAGTGACCCCCTCCCCAGTCCTGGGCCGGTGGTTTTCCAGAAGACTTGCCCATCTATTATCGTGCTCGAGCCTCCCAATTGCCTGTGAGGAGGGCCCAGTAGGTGTCATTATCCCACTTTACAGGTGAGGTAACAGGGCCCGGGGAGGCTAGGTGATCTGCTCAAGGTCACCTGGCTGATGGGCCGCCCAGCCCAGGCTAGAACCTGACTCTTGACCTTGGTCCTGGCACTGCCAAGCTCTCAGCTTCTTTGGGTCCCTCCTGGGCAGGGGCACTTCTATCTCCATCAGGGGTCTCCTGGTGCCTCATACAAGCCCCAGGCCAGGGAGGTGCAGGGGAGCTGGGCTGAGATACCCCAAACCAGAGGCTGGGGCCTGGGAACTGGGTGGGCTTCGTACCAGGAGGACCACCCAAGGCGCTCCGCTCTAGCTTGTGTTTGGGGGGAGGATGCTGGGGGCCCTTCGTACCCGGGTCTATCTCCATGAGGCTCTGTCTCTCTGTCTCTCCATATCTTTTCATGTCCCTTTGTCGCTGTCTCTGTATCCCCATGTCTCTCTATCTAGATTCTCACACACCCAGGGCACAATAGGACAGAGCCCTGGAAATGACAGCTTCGGGAGTGGGGTCGCCAGATAAAATCCAGGATGCCTCGTTAAATTTGAAATCCAGATGAACAATGAATACTTTTTCAGTGTAAGTATGTCCCAGATATTTCATGGGACATACTTATACTAAAACAATTGTTTGTTGTTTATCTGAAATTCAAGTCCGACTGGGTGTTCCGTATTTTATTAAATCTGGCAGCCCTGCTTGGAAGGAGACACAGGTGTGTCAGCCCCTCCCACGTGGTGAGGATACCTGGCAGGGCCAAGCCCTGGAGTGGGACCCGCCTGGTGGAGTACAGTTAGGCTTCATGTATTTCTCTTTTTTTAAAGGAAAGGCGTGTTGAGTAGTGTCAGACTCATGCTGTCAGAGGAGTGAAGAGGGTGCTTTGGAGGACGTCTGCTTTCTTCCCCGTGGAGGCAGGGAAGGGAAAGGGCCTGGGTAGTGGTTGTGGCCAGCTGTGCAAGCTTGGGGAAGCCTCTTGCCCCTCCTGAGTCTCAGTTTCCCCATGTTAAGTGGGAGTAATGATCCCCTCCTCCTGGGACTGTGCTGAGGATTGGATGAGTTGATATTCAGAAAGTCGCAGGCAAGCCTGCCATGGTAAACGTTCAGGGGATGGGAGCCCTGGGGGTTATGATTACTGTTGTTATTACTCTTGGGTAAGGATGTGGACTCAGGAGCCGGAGGCCTGGGTTTGGACCCCAGTCCTGCCACTAACTAGCTCCATGACCTTGGACAGTTTACTTTAACCTCAGTTTCCCACCTGTAAAATGGGAGACAATAATATTCGCTACCTCCTGGGGTTTTTGAGTGGATTACATGACATAAGGCACATAAGGAAAGTCAAATAGGGCTGGCACCTAGCAAGGGCTCAATCAAAGTCAGCTACTGTTATCTCCCAGCTGGATGTGTGTGCTGCTTCCTCCAGGAAGCCTTCCGGTTCCTCTGGCCCACAGTGGTCTCTCCCTACATGGGATCCCACTGACCCCTGACCCCATCACCCTGAATCCCATCTGGCTGCCCTGGGCAGTGCTGTCCGCAGCTCCCTAGCCAGACTGAAGGCCAGCATGCACAGTAGGCACCCCACAGACAATCAGAGGATGAAGAGACTGATTTCAGACAGGACTCCCAGACTAGCTGGAGTGGGGAAATGAGGTCCCAGGCCCACAGAACAGCATGGAATTTTTAACCCTACAATTAATGCCTGGAGAACTCACAAAGGAAATGTTAATGAGCACGGAACCTTAGAGTGTGAGAATGTTTATCTGTGTGTGAGGTCCAGGCTTGACTTCCAGGAGCTTGCTGTGAGAATCTGAGAGGCCTGGGGTAGTCAGGGAAGGCTTCCTGGAAGCAAGAGTGTGAGCCAGGGCTCAAGCATCTGAACAAGAGCTGCCCTCTAGCACTTCCCGTGGCTCCCTGTTCTTCCCAGGTCAGTACCTGAGGGAACAGAGATGTTTGAGGTCTACGGAACCCCCGGTGTGGACATCTCCATCTCTTCCGGAGTGGAGAGGGACCAGGAACATGCAGACACCGGGCGGTGGTGCTTTGATGCGGGGTTGCAGCTCATCGTGGTCATGAACTCTCCCAGCAACGACCTCAACGACAGTCACGTAAGCAGGTCCCTTGGTCTGAGGGAGTGATGGGGAGGCAGTGATCTCACTCCACAAGGGCCCAGGGCCCTCTCTTTATCCAGAGTGCAGGGTAGCACAGTGGGTAAGTGCCTGGCCCTGGAGCCAGCCAGCTCTGCAACTTACAAACACAAACTGTGAGTCTGCAGGTGAGTCACATCACCGCTCTGGGCCTCAGTTCCCCCAACTGTAAAATGGGGATAATCATAGCACCTTCCTCCTAGTGTTGAACAGGAGCCAGGCTTTGCTCCTTCTCTTGCTTCCCAGGACCCCTTGTGAAGGGAGGAGTTGTCCTAGTTCTTCTGTGTCGGGCCTCAGGTTCCCCATCTGTAGGCTGAGGGTTGACTTGTGCTCTCTGATACTCTGAATGAGGGAGAGAAAGCAGAGATGGGGGAGGGAAGCCATTGCCTGGGGAGACCCCTTTCCCCAGGGGCCTCACCTTCCCCTAACCCACTCCCTTCCTGACCCCCATTCACTTCTCAGAGGCCGGATGCCTCCCCTTCCTCTCCTCTCTCTGCCCATTAAGTTTGAGTTTAACAAGACCCAGCTGGAGGCAGTGTTCTGGCCCCAGGGCAGGGGGGGATTTAAAAAGTGGGAGAAGTCGGGTGTCCCTCGACACAGGGCAGAGGGGATGCCCCCTAAAGGGGTGATGGGAACCAGGCCTTGTCGTGTGGGTGGCAGTTCCCCACTCCATGTCGGGAGCGATACTTTGGGAAACTGGCCCTTTAAGGAACACTGAACATGCGCCCAGCCTGGGGCAGCCGTGACCTCCCCCGGCCCCGACAGCAGCCCTGAGAGGCAGGGTCTGATCCCCATTTCACAGGTGGGGCCACCAAGGTTCAGAGTAACTGTCCTGGAGCCACATAGCCGATCAGTGGGAAGGCTAGAATTCAGGTGTCAGAGCTGCTCGACACCCAGGGACAGGCTCCCTCCATCACCCCCACATCTTTACCATCCATGTGTCTAAATTATCCTATCCAGGGAGTTCCGTGAGGCAGGTGGGGCAGAATGAACCCATTTTACAGACAAGGAAACAGACCAAGAAGGGGCGTGGCTTACCCGAAGTCACATGATTAGTAAGTAGCAGAGTTGGTGAGAGTCAGGACAGAGGCCCCCGGGGCAGGGCAAGAGGACCAGCCGTCCTGTGAGGGGCCGCTCCTGGTTGCCCTGCACTGAGCCAGAGGCTGTGTGGATACCTCCCCAGTCTGAGCTCCCTGCACCGAGGACCGCAGGGACTGAGGAGGGTCATCAGAGTGTCCCCTACTTCCCCTCCCCCCCTTTGCCCGGGATCCAGGTAATTTTATGCCTGAGGTGAGCATCATTGCTGGGGCTTGACACATAGGGGTCAGTAACTGCAGGATTTAGGGGCTCCCAGGACAGAGGGGTGAGGGGTCTCTATAAAATCCTGAACCTTCTGGCCGAGTTGAGAACATCAGAGCCAAAAAGGGAAGGTCCACGTGGAGGGCGGTGGGTCAAAGCGGTTTGATACATCAGCCTGGAATTGCTTTATCATCATCACCATCTTCAGCCTCCCCTTTGACAGTTGTTGGGTGTGTGCTGTGAGCACCGTGTCAAGAATGTCACGTGCTTTCCTTTTTTAATCCTCATAGCCTATAATCAGTCCTATGGAACTATTATTATCCCCATTCTACAGCTGAGCAAATTGAGGCCCAGACAGGACAGTAACTTTTCCCAGGATATTCTCACATGGTGGATGCAGAATCTGAGCCCAGGACACCTGACTCCAGAACTCTGCACTGACTCTTACATCACAGCCCCTGCCCTCTAATAACAGTAGCTGGTATTTCTTGGGTGTTTCCTATAAGGTTCGTCTTTTACATGGATCATTTCAAATCTGCACTACAATCCTCTGAGGTAGGGACCTATATAAAGCCCATTTTGCAGATGAGGAGACTGAGGTAGCTCAGAAAGGTGAAGGGCCTTGGCCAAGGTCACAGAACCCAGAGGTGCTGGGCTCAAGTCTAGGCCTGTCTGAATCCCAGAGTGAAGAGAGTGTCCCTAAAGCCTGCCCAGTCCAAACTCCTCATTTTGGGAATGGCGAAACTGAGATCAGAAACAGGAGCCCCAGCTCCTGTTCTTTGGAGCAGGGGCTTGCCAAAAGCACACAGTAGTCATTGGCAGCACCGGGACACACGTCTCCATGGAATCTCTCACAAATTGTTCCCATTTTACAGATAGGCCAACTGAGGCATGGAAAAATAAACGGCACAGAGAAGGCTAAAGGAAGAGCTGGGTTGGTAAACTCAACTTTAGTGCACAGAGTTTCCTGGGAACTCCTCCCCTCCTTGCCAGATCCCCCAAGACCTGTGTTTCGGGGCAGGGCTCTTGGCTTCAGCCAACTTGACCTTGGGGCCCATCTCTCTACAGGTTCAGATTTCCTACCATTCCGGCCAAGAGCCTCTGGCCTATGCGGTGCTCTACCTCACCTGTGTGGGTAAGTCCAGGGCCTCAGCCAATGGCAGTGTGAAATTGGTGCAGGGTTAAATATAGACCAACGGAACAAATGGAGAACCAGAACCCAGACCCATGCTCATGTGGTTATCATGTGACACTCAATGAACCTGGAGCCCTACTTCACACCATACTCAAAAATAAATTCCAGATGGGTTAAAAATCTCAAGGTGAAAGTCAGAATTTTAAAGCTTTTAGAAGAGAATATCTTTTCAACTTCAAAGCAGTCAGAAGTTTTCTTTAACAAGGCAAAACAAAAGCACAGGACTTTAGGGGCAAGATTGATAAATTAGACTGTATTAAAATTGAAAACTTCTGGGCTTCCCTGGTGGCGCAGTGGTTGAGAGTCCGCCTGCCGATGCAGGGGACACGGGTTCGTGCCCCGGTCCGGGAGGATCCCACATGCCGCGGAGCGGCTGGGCCCGTGAGCCATGGCCGCTGAGCCTGCGTATCCGGAGCCTGTGCTCCGCAACGGGAGAGGCCACAGCAGTGAGAGGCCCGCATACTGAAAGAAAAAAAAAAAAAAAAAAAAGAAAAAAAAATTGAAAACTTCTGTACAGTGGAGGACAAGTACAAAGCCAGGCTATGGAGAAGAGCTTTGCAATGCATAGAGCTGACTCAGTGCCTATAGTAACGGAGAATGCCGATCGATAAGAAAGAAAAACCGAACAATAGAAACAGGCAAAACAGCAACAACAGTAACAACAGAAAAGAAAAAAGAAAACCCCAGCGAATCACAGATGAGAAAAGCCCCAATGATCAGAACTCAGGTGAAAGGATACTTACCTTAGAAGATACTTATCTGCGAAGGATGTGCAACTGGAAACTCCTTCTACCGGGGGTGGGGTTTGCGTTGGTACAAGCACTTGGAGAACAAGAAAGTTAGCAAGAAAGTTGAAAACGCTTTGTCTGCAGGAGGCGTTTTTAGAAGCAGAACTGCTGAGTTACAGGGAAGGTACATTTAAATCGTGATAGATATTGCCAAATGGCTCTTCGAGAAGACCATACCACGTTATACACCTGCCCACAGCAGGGAGTGTGGGAGTGCCTTGCCAACACTGTACGTTATCAACCTTTTCCGTTTTTGGCCAGTCTGAGAGGTCGCTGTCTCATTGTTGCTTTAATTTGCCTCCCTTTAATTAGGACTGAGGTTGGGGACCACCCCACCTCCTCTCCCTGAATACACACCCACCCTTGTTCTTTGGAAAATACGCATACAGCAAAGTACATATGTATGTATGTGTGCGTGAGAGTATGGGTGTGAATACACACACATTAAGGAATAGTTACAAAGCAAACACCTGAGCAACCATTACCCAGGTTAAGAAATAGAACAGGGAACGTGGTCAATATCCCAAAGTGCCCCCCGCCACCGAGCCCCTCTCTGATCAAAGCTCCCTCCTTCCCTTAGAGGTAACCACTATCTTGTGGTAAGTATTTCCTTGCTTTTCTTTATGATTTTATCATCTGAATAGGCACACCCAAATAATACAGTCTGTTTTTGCCTATCTTTGAATTCTCCCTGGATGGAATCTTATTGTACGCGTCCTTTGGGGTTGGGCTTGTTTTGCCCCATGTTAGCTTTGTGAGTTTCATGCACTTATTGCATGGTGGGTGGGTGCCTTTTCACATGTTTAAAAATCATTTCAAATCTCTCTCTCTCTCTCCCTTGAAGGTTTCATTTGTCTTGTAAAATCTCCTCCACTTTCTAGGGAGAAAGGTTAAGACAGTGGGATGGCGGCTGGGATTTAGGGAAAAGCTGAGGCTCAGAGAAGCCACATAGCCTATAGGTGCCAGAGCCTAGATTCACATCCATGACTATCTAACACCAAAGTCCAGGCTCACTGCCCCATCCCGAGGAGACGAGGCAGCTTCATACAGACCAAGAATGTCCAGGGCAACCCAGGCGCAGTGCAGGGTGTGCCCCAGACAGCGAGGGCTGTAGAGATGCAGGAGAGGGAGAGTTCAGGGAAGGCTTCCTGGAGGGGGCAGCATTTGACCTGGGTCTTTGCTCTGACCCTGCTTCCTCCCCAAGGCCTCTTTCCCCAGCCCGGGGAGGGAGACTCCAGATGCTCCCGCCTCTGGGCAGTGTCTCCTTGGAAATGACTTCCATTTGCCAGATGGGCCAAGACCGAGGCTAAAATGTGGAGGCCATAGGCCTGTGCTGGGCCCCTGAAAACACTGTCGTGACTTACCTTCTGCCCTCTCCTTGCAGATATCACCCTGGATTGTGACCTGAACTGTGAAGGCAGACGGGATAGGGGCTTTGTGGACAAGGTAGGCTATCTCTGGGCCCAAAAAGGGGCATGGAGTTTGGAGCTGCTCTAGGCTGGGTTAAGAGGAGGGAGACCATTATAGGTATCCCCCTGCCTCCCAGCTGATGTCAAGGCCAGTGGAGCCAGATAGGAACCAGGCATGGCTGGGGATCTTCTGGGAGAAAAATCATCACCAAGAGTTTTCAAGCACACATGTGCCCAGCCCTGGGCTAGGCCTTCCTTTCTGGGGAAAAGTCCTTCTGGATTTTCAATTTAGGTTGGGGGTTGGCAAACTTTTTCTGTAAGAGCAAGATAGTAAATATTTTAGGCTTTGCGAGTCATCCTGTCTCTCTTGCAATTACTTGATTCTGCCATTGTAGGATGAAAGAGATAGTACAGAAACAAATGGATGTGACAGTGTTCCAATAAAACTTTATTTAAAAAAACAAGTAGTGGGCCAGATTTGGCCCACGGGCAGTAGTGTGCTGACCCCCTAATCTAGGTGAAAAGGGAAATCTACCAAGGCTGAAACTGTAAAAGAACTTTGGGCTGAATTGTGGTGGCACTTAATGCATTGGGAGTTCAGCGGAGAAGGGCAAGGTGGGCTTTGGGAGCAAGAAAGACTTCCCTTGAAGTCCCCGTGCGCTGGGCTCCAAAGCGATGCAAGACGGAGGGCATTTCAGGTGGAGGGAACAGCAGAAGCTAAGGCCTGGAGAAAGGAATGGATCTTATCAGGAAGTTGCCTATTGGAAAGAGGATGTTGGCTGGAGACATAACACAGGCAGCCATGAGAGACAGCTGTGTCGTTTGAACTTGATGGTGTGGGCGGTAGAGAGCTATTGCCGTTTCTTGAGCAGGAGTGGACCTATCATCACAGGGCAGGGTGAAGAGGAAGGGATGGGTTAGGAGGCTGGCCAGGAGGTTGCTGAGGAGGGAGGCACAGGTCTGGTCTGAGCCCCCGTCATCAGCTGGGCTTTGCCATTGGCAGCGGCAGTGGGTCTGGGGATCTAGCGAGTATGGAGCCATCCTGCTGGTGAACTGTGACAGGGACAATCTGAGCTGTGATGACCAGGACAACTGTGACCGGCACGTGCACTGCCTGCAAGGCGAGGGGGGCACCGGGGCAGCCTGTGTCCCTGGGTTCCCAGGATCAACGCTCAGCTACCCTGCAGGGATTCTGACCCCCACAGGCAGCTCTGAAGGCAGAGCTCAGTGCCAGAGTTTCAGCTCCCGTACACACCTTGGTGCTCCTTAAAACCTGCCTCAGGCTGGCAGCTGCCTCTCCCCATCCTCAGTGCCAGCGGGCACTCGCATGCTGGGGCAGAGCTCTGGAAAGGAGCTGACTCACCTTTCTCTCCCTCCAGGGGAGTAGAGGATGCTAACATTATTTGAGCACCCATCATGTGCCAGACTCTTTACCCAAATTCTCGTTTAACCATCGAAGCAGAAGGGCAACATCGCCCCAATTTAGAGACAAGGACGTTGAGGCTCAGAGGTCAGGAGATCCCCAAAGTCACTCAGCCAGCCTGTGGCAGGTCCAAGCCTTCCGATTCCAACCCGAAATCCGGCCTCTTCCTTCTCCCTGGCATCGCTGGTCTGGGTTTCAGAGATGCCCCACGTTTTTTTTTTTTTTTTTTTTTGCGGTACGCGGGCCTCTCACAGTTGTGGCCTCTCCCGCCGCGGAGCACAGGCTCCGGACGCACAGGCTCAGCGGCCATGGCTCACGGGCCCAGCCGCTCCGCAGCATGCGGGATCCTCCCGGACTGGGGCATGAACCCGCGTCCCCCGCATCAGCAGGCGGACTCTCAACCACTGCGCCACCAGGGAAGCCCTGCCCCACGTTTAAGTCCATCCTGAGCCACATGCACAGCCCCGTGAAGGATGCCGCAGCAGCATCCTTGGTGTGGGCCAGGGGCTTCACACATGAGATGCCCATGCTACTCTAAAAGTTGGCATGATTGTTTTGGAGACAGGAAGGCTGAGGCTTTGGGGCGGGGAGGGGCTGGCCCAGGGCAGCAGCGAGCGATTCTGAGACTGAGACAGGGGCCTTCACCTTCATGCCGCCCAGGTGGGCTTCTTACCACACATGCTTCTCCTGCACACCTGTCGTGTGCCAGGCACCGGGCTGGCCGCTCTATACTTCCTGGTTCTCTGGGCAGATGAGGAAACCGAGGCTCAGAGAGGGTAGGAAGTAGCTCACCATGTCACATGCTTACAGCCATCTTCGTGGTTTGCTCCTGATGGCTCCCAGTGCTTCCACAGGCTGGGCAGAGCTGGGGCTCAGAGACCCAGGTCTCGGCACCCTCTGCCCTGGGGAGGGCACGGGCAGGAGTTGGAGGGGCTGGGGTGTCGGAGGCCCCCTGAATTGCCGCCCTGTGTCTGGCTCCCCAGACCTGGAAGATATGTCTGTAATGGTCCTGCGGACCTAAGGCCCCGTTGCCCTTTTCGACGACCACACACTTGTCCTCCACACCTCCAGCTGTGACGCCAAGTGGGCACGGGTCTTCCATGCTTGTGGTGAGTTCATGCCCATCCTGCCCTGCCGGGGGGGGCCTCAGTTTCCCCACCTGGGGTGAGAGAGCAGGCTCTGCGTTGGCTCCTGGGCTGCCTTGGGGGTCAGAGGAAGAAGAATCAGATGAGCGAGCTCCAGAACCGGCTGGCTGGCATCCCTGGCACAGCCGTGCCTCAGGTGGTTTCACCGGATGACTGAATTCTTAAAATATGTTCTAAGCACGTTTAGAAATTTTTATTATCACAACTTTCAAACATCCACAAAAGTAGAGAGAACGGTGTAACAAACCCCCATGTGCCACCCACTCAGATTCAACAGTGATCACTATTTTGCCTCTCTTACTTCATCTATCCTTTTCGGTTTGCTGAAGTATTTTAAAGCCAGTCCCAGACACCCTGGCTGTTTGCCTCTATAATAATTCAGTCTCACCCGCCCCACCCAAAGAAAAAAAACCCAAACTATTGCTTTACATAGCCACAATTCCATTATCACAAATAAAAGTATATAACGTAAACATTTTTTACATTTTAAAAATACAAATGTATACAAGTAATAATATGGTCATTTAAAAAACATAGAAGTATGTAAAATAAAAAATGAGAGTTTGCGATCCCTACCCCAAAACCTGACCCTTAACATGTGTTCACCGTGAACAATCTGGTGTGTGTTCTTCCCGACTTTTCTCCATGTGCACTGGATGAGCATGGTGTGTGTGTGTGCGTGCCGCGTGGGCGCGTGCGTGTGTGTGTGTGTGTGCGTGCCGCGTGGGCGCGTGCGTGTGTGTGTGTGCGTGCCGCGTGGGCGCGTGCGTGTGTGTGTGTGCGTGCCGCGTGGGCGCGTGCGTGTGTGTGTGCGTACTCTGCTTTCCAGAAGGTTCCTCCCATTGAGTTATACACCCTACACATCTCCCTGTGTATTTATTTAGCTCTGCTTCCCTCTCCTCCACAGCTGCATCGTGTTCCAAAGCACGGAGGTGCTGTAAATTATCCGGTCCCCTGAAGGCACCGTTTTTGCAGTGTTCTGATTTTACAACAATCTAGGTTCCTGGCGGGCAGGGACCTTGCTCACAGCCATATCCTGAGTCCAGAACTATGCCTCCTAGGTGCACAGTAGGCGCTCAGTAAATATTTATTCAATGAATGAATAATTAACCAGTGAACACCCTGTACATGTATTTTTTAGGAAAGATACCTAGCCATGGAATTGCTGGTTAGGGGTAAACATTACCTTCTTCTTTTTTTTTTTTAATAAATTTATTTATTTACTTTTGACTGTGTTGGGTCTTCGTTGCTGCGTGCGGGCTTTCTCTAGTTGTGGTGAGCAGGGGCTACTCTTCGTTGCGGTGCGTGGGCTTCTCATCGTGGTGGCTTCTCTTGTTGCGGAGCAGGGGCTCTAGGCACGTGGGCTTCAGTAGTTGTGGCTCATGGGCTCTAGAGCGCAGGCTCAGTAGTTGTGGTGCACGGGCTTCGTTGCTCCACGGCATGTGGGATCTTCCCGGACCAGGGCTCGAACCCGTGTCCCCTGCATTGGCAGGCGGATTCTTAACCACTGCGCCACCAGGGAAGTCCCAACATTACCTTCTTAGATGCCACCAAATTGCCCTCCGAAAGCTCTGAGCACTGATCTTAGAAAGGAATGCCCTCCCTTGCCCCCACCCAGGCCTGCCCATGCCAGGTATTAAGCATCTTTCTCTCCTTTGCCAGTGGGAGGTGAGAGGCATGAGCTGTTGTCTGGCTTACATTTTGTTGGTGAGGCTGCACAACCCTTCCTGCTCCCCAGGCCAGCTCGGGAGCCACGGCCACCCCTTCCGTCCCCTCCCAGGTCCCGAGGACTCATGAGAGGCTTACAGGCACGTGCTGGGCCAGAACGAGGTGTCGTACCAGGTGCCCCGCTTCCACGGGGATGAGGGGTGCTTCTTCGTAGAGGGCCTCTCCTTCCCTGGCGCTGGCATGAAAGATCCCGACCACCCCGCTGGTGCCTCTCTAGAAACTAAGGAGCAAGCGCTTGCTCAAGTCCACGGTGGTCCTCGAACCATCTAGGCTCTGGACCCTGAGGCCAGTTTCTTTTCCCTCTGGTCTTCCCCTGCAGGATTTCTCCGAATCCCCCATCTTCACTGACACCGTGGTGTTCTGTGTGGCGCCCTGGATTATGACGCCCAGCGCCCTGCCGCCCCTGGAGGTGTACGTGTACCGGTGAGCCCGGGGGATGCTGGGTGTCCTTCTGACCCTGGTGGCCCCTCTCTCCACCCCCAGGACTGGCTCTGTCCTGAGCCACTCTCCCTGGGCTTGTCTGCAGAGTGAGGAACAATGCGTGTTCTGTGGATGCAGTGGTGGAGCTGGCCAGGAGAGCCGGCTGCGAGCTGACCATCTGCCCACAGGCCGAGACCCGCAACGACCGCTGGATCCAGGTGCCACGGCCGCCGGGCGGCACCTCACCCGACACTGGCCTGGAGGGAGAGGCTGGCCTATCCCAACGCGGGTGCTGCTGGGAATATCCAGGAGGAACGGGGCTGTGCTCGTCCTCCCCAGGGCACTGCTCTTTCTAATTCTAGACCTAGAGCTCTCCCCTTCTCTCCAGAACCTTCTGGAGGCTCAAGCACACTGACATTGAATTTGACATCCATTCACCCATAGGATCCGGCATAGGCACTGGGCTGAGCCTGAAGGGGATGGCAGAGGTGCAGGGCGCACGCTCCTTGCCCTCAACAGCCTGGACCAGTGGTTCTCCATGGAAGGTGGTTTTGTCCCCCCAGGGGACATTTGGCAGCATCTGGAGACATTTGGTTGTTACACTGAGAGAGGCGGTGCTATTGGCTTCCAGTGCGTAGAGACCAAGGGTGCCGCTAAACAGCCTGCAATGCACAGGACGGCCTCCACGAGAAAAAATTACCTGGTCCCAAGTGTCAAGAGTGCCGAGGCCAGAAGCCCTGATAGAGAGAATGACTGCGACAGAAATCCCCGCCCGACACTCTAAGATGGAGCGGGGGTGCTGGCAAAGTGCCAGCAGGGTTTGGAGGCGCGTGGCATCACCTCTGTCTGGGGGATCAGTGAAGATTGCCTGGAGGGCGCATCTGAGCTGGACCAGATTTGGTGAGTGGATAAGGATTTGTGTCGTTTATCGAGCACTCACTGCTGGCCGTGTGTAGCATCATTTCATCTTCCTGACAATGCCCTGTCAATAAAGAAGGAGCTCTCAGGGGAGTAAATGCCTAGGGCCGCAGATCTGGTGAGGGCTGTGCTGAGACTCAATGGACCGTGTTCCTGGAAGAAGACTGGCATGTGCAAAGGACCAGAGGTGGGAGGCATGAGAAAAGATGTCACCTATTCTCTTTGGCCAGGGCCCAGTTTCTTTGAAGGGCAAGAGTTGAGGTAGGAGGCCTTGAATGCCAAGCTAAGAAGCTTTCATTTCAACTGGAGGTTCATCCAGTGAGGTGGTTCAGAGCAGGACTCTGGAGCCGGGCAGCCTGGGTTTGGATCCTGGCTATGCTGCTGGCTAGCTGTGTGCCCTTGGACAAATAATTAGATCTCTCTGTTCCTCACTTTCCTCATGGGTGATATGGGGTAATCATGGCCCCTCCACATAGGCATGTCACGAGGACTGATGGAGTTAATATTTGTAAAGAGCTTAGGGCAGGGCCGGGCCCATAATCGTGAACTTCTTGTGTTGGATACATAGTTCATCAGTGATGGGTCATCTTTGCCTCCGGAACCAGAGGGCTCAGGATTGACCTGGATGTGTTTACGTGTTTGAAAAGGAAGCCTGGGGCTTCCCTTGAGGTCCAGTGGTTAGGACTCCGAGCTTCCACTGCAGGGGGCATGGGTTTGATCCCTTGTCGGGGAACTAAGATCCCGCATGCCACATGCAGCGTGGCAAAAAAAAAGAAAAGGAGGCAGATCTGTACCTCCTCAGGCCCCCTCAGCCCTGTCCAGCCGTCAATCCCTCAGGACCACGTGCAGAGGCCAGATGTGCTGGCTGGTGCCCAGCAGCCTGTTTGTCCATCGCAGGCCACCCAAACCCGTCTCTGTATCCACTCTGCCCTGACCCAGCACAGGGACAACCCCAAGGCCATGTTCTCGTTCATTCCTGACCTGTCTTGCTGTGTGACCCTAGGCAAGGGGACCCCCCTCTCTGAGCCTCCAGCCCCTCCTCCAGCTAGCAGACATCATGGCCCCTCCGCCCCAAGGGCAAAGCAGGCCTGCGGCACAGAACTCCCGTGAACAGTCTTCCCCAAGGTGCTGAGTGCCAGGCAAGCAGGGGAGGCTCCTGACCATCCACAGCTGGCGACCTCATGTTTGCAGGATGGGATGGAGCTGGGCTACATTCAGGCACCACACAAGACCTTCCCAGTAGTCTTTGACTCCCCCGGGAATGGAGAACTGCAGGACTTCCCTTACAAAAGAATCCTGGTGAGTGGTCAAGGCCACAGCCTAGGCCTGAGGGCTGAGAGACATTACCCCAAGGGCCAGACTGGGAACTATGTTCCTTAGGGACAGGAGTAGAGTTGCCAGATAAAATAGGAGATGCCCAGTTAAAGCTGAATTTCTGCTACACAGTGAGTAACTTTTAGTATAAGTATATCCCATACATTGCATGGGATATACTTATACTAAAAATATATTTGTTGTTTATCTGATATTCAAATTGAACTGGGCATCCTGTATCTTTTTTTTTTTTTTTTTTGCAGTATGCGGGCCTCTCACTGTTGTGGCCACTCCTGTTGCAGAGCACAGGCTCCGGACGCGCAGGCTCAGCGGCCATGGCTCACGGGCCCAGCCGCTCCACAGCATGTGGGGTCTTCCCGGACCGGGGCACGAACCTGTGTACCCTGCATCGGCAGGCGGACTCTCAACCACTGCGCTACCAGGGAAGCCCAGCATCCTGTATCTTTTTTTTACTAAATCTGGCAGCCCAAGAAGGGGAGGGGAGGCAGGACAGTGCAGCTGTTAAGAACATAGGCTTTGGAGTCAGTCAGCCTGGCTCTGTCACTCACATGCTGTGTGACCTTGCATAAATAATTTCCCCTCTCTGAGCCTCAATTTCCTCATCAGTAAAAGTATGTTAGCCCTGGCCTCAAAGGTGTTTGTGAGGCTTCTCCATGCCTACATGAAGAAAACATACAACATAGTTTGCTCGTATGATTATTGGTAATAAAGAGGGTGTTTTCAAATGAACTTATCTATGAAACAGAAACAGATGCACAGACATAGAGAACAGACTTGTGGTTGCCAAAGAGGAGGGGGAGTGGGGGAGGGAAGGACTGGGAGTTTGGGCTTAACCAATGCAAACTGTTACATACAGGATGGATAAACAACAAGATGCTACTGTCTAGCATAGGAAACTATATTTAATATCCTGTGATAAACCATAATGGAAAAGAATATGAAAAAGAAGAGATATATGTCTAATTGAGTCATTCTGTTGTACAGCAGAAATTACCACAACATTGTAAATCAACTAAACTTCAATAAAATTTAAAAAAAAAAAAGTGTCTTAATCTCTCTCCTGAGAAAAGAGGGGAGATTCCCTCGTGCCAAAGAGAACGGAAGACTTCTCCAGCACCTTATTGGATCACAAAGGTGGGAGGAGCTCTCCCCTGCCCCTCGATATTGTCTAAATTCCTTCTAAGAGATGGCCCTGGGAAGTTCTCCCCTTTTCCAGAGTTGAAAAACTGAGTCTCAGTTGAAAAACTGAGACCAGCCTCTTTGTCCCCAAAGTAGGCCACTCTAGAGCAGCCAGATACCTGCCTTGGATTGGACTTGGCAGGAAGGCCGTGCAGAGGGTAAAGGGGAGTCCGTGGCCTCAGGCTCAGTGTCTAATGGGGAGTGTTGGAGCAGCCAGGGCCCTCTCTGCTGTTTTCCCATCACCATGGGGAATAACGTTCTCTAATATGGCAGCAGGGCCAGTCAGTGGGCTGTGTGTGTCCCAACCTTGGCAGGCGTGAATAAAATACCGCTAGGTCAGATCCCCATCTTTGACTCAGTATTTCCATCTGAAGAATGGGTGGTTGCTCCCACTCTAAGGAGCTCAAAGCCCAACAGGTAGGTTCAAGCTCTTCCTGGTGAGCCTCCCCACTCCCAGCCTGACTCAACTTCCCCTACCAGGGTCCAGATTTCGGCTACGTGACTCGGGAACCACGAGACAACTCTGAGTGGCCTGGATTCCTTTGGGAACCTGGAGGTCAGCCCCCCAGTGGTGGCCAATGGGAAAGAATACCCCCTGGGGAGGATCCTCTTTGGTGGCAACCTGCCTGGGTGAGAGAGGTGTTCTTGGGGTGGAGACTGAGGGTGGGGTGGTGATGGTGGCTGGGGGAGGGGCCATTCTACTCCTAGAAGAGAACCAGAAAAAATCAGTGATGAAATTGTAGACCTGGATGTGGTGGGGTGGGAGCAGAAGACGGTTCTCCAGACACTGTCCACACTTACCTCGGGGAGTCTGAGAAGACTGGAGCAAGCAGAGACGTAAGAGATCATTCAGTCCAACACTTTCATTTCGTAAGTGGGCCCAGAGAAGGTGAGTGACCTGGGAAAGGTCACACAGGCTGCAAAGTTATGACTAGACTTAGATCTTCTGATTCAGAAAATAAATAGATGTTGACATCAATTAATAGTTATAGATGAAAAAGTTTTAAGTCTCAGCAGTCCCAGGAGAAATTACATTTAAATCAATGCTTGTTCACACTATGATGTAAATGACTAATATCAGACCTTGTCCTGAGAGCAAAAGGGAGGTATAGGACATGAAAATTGAGACAGCAGTGACACAAAGAGAGAGTGTAACTGATTATGTCTTGTTCAATATGTGACACAGGGATATTGATGAAAAAGAAAAGGAGTTATATGATAATGGTTATTTGCTATGGAATAGACCCAAACTGAGCCAATCAAATTCAGCAAAGCAGTTAGAACAGACTTGTGATCAAACAACAGGTGAAACGAAGCTTTGAAGGGGACTACCTGCCCTCAAACACATGATCTCACAGAAAGAGGAAGTTGGGGCCATGCCATTAGATACTTTTTCAGAAGGTAAGAGAAGAATGGGGTTTAAATTCATGAACATAATATGCCGGGGCTATGAGAAAAGATCACCCTCTCCCCTCACTGATATGCAGGAAGGCGAGGCTGCAGCAAGAGAGATGTAAGTTAAACTCTACAAAGCACTGCCCAGCCGGTGATTGAATATGGGGGTGAAATCAGTCTCTTAGAGAATGTGAGGATGGGGTGTGAGGGTGCTTCTGAGGATTTGCCTGGGTGGTGAGACCTGGGTGGGTCACTGACCTGGTGTGATTGACCTGTCCTGTGTCTGCCTCATCGAGAACTCACCTGGAGTGTAATTTATTATATAAATATATATATTTTTAATATATATATATTTATTTATTTTAACATCTTTATTGGAGTATAACTGCTTTACAATGGTGTGTTAGTTTCTGCTGTACAGCAAAGTGAATCAGCTGTATGTACACATATATCCCCTTACCCCCTCCCTCTTGCGTCTCCCTCCCATCCTCCATATCCCACCCCTGTAGGTGGTCACAAAGCACCGAGCTGATCTCCCTGTGCTATGCGGCTGCTTCCCACTAGCTATCTGTTTTACATTTTATAGTATATATAAGTCCATGCCTATTTATTTTTTATTTTTGGCTGCGTTGGGTCTTCGTTGCGGCACGCGGGATCTTCGTTGCCGGGCACGGGCTTCTCTCTAGCTGTGGCTCGCGTGCTCAGGAGTCTCAGCGTGCAGGCTTAGTTGCCCCACGGCATGTGGGATCTTAGTTACCCCACCAGGGATCGGACCCGTGTCCCCTGCATTGGAAGGTGGATTCTAAACCACTGGACCACCAGGGAAGCCCCGAGTGCAATTTAAATATATATTTATTGTCTTCCCTGATTACAAAAGCAATGCATTTTTGGGCAGAAGTTGCAGAAATCTTGAACTCTTGTCATTCCATTTCTGCATATACGTATATTTTTAGTTAACTTTTGTTTTTTAACCCCTTGGGCCCCAGATCAAGAGGCCGCAGGGTCACCCAGGTGGTTCGGGACTTCCTTCACGCGCAGAAGGTGCAGCCCACTGTGGAGCTCTTTGTGGACTGGTTGGCCGCGGGCCATGTGGGTGAGTTTCTGAGCTTTGTCCCTGCCCCTGATGGGAAGGTAAGGACTCGGGAGACAGCTCTGGGTTAGGGGATGAGCTCCAAGGAGCCATGCTGAGGCCGGGGAGCTCAATGGAATCTGCGCTCTCCACACAGGGCTTCCGGACGCTCCTGGCCAGCCCTAGCGCCTGCTTCAAGCTCTTCCAGGAAAAGCAGAAGCAGGGCCACGGCACGGCCCTCCTGTTCCAAGGGGTTATTGGTGGGTACCAGTGCTGTGTCCCTCATCACAGCTTTCCCACCCTCGTCACCTAAATTAAGACATGTCGTGGCTTGAGGGAGGAAGGGCACATGTTAAAACAGGGCTGTCCCCCCAGGTGTGAGATCCCTTGCTCCACCAGACACCACTGTCCATGGCTGGGGCAGAGCTGGCAGGGAGCTCTGTGATGGATGATGGGCTTGGAGTGGGTGTGGACAGAGTGGAGACGTGGCCAGCTTTGTGGGCACGTGACCAGGGCAGTCATACAGGGCCCTCTGCTCAGAAGGATCCAGCACTTGGGATTTGATGCTCTGCCCTTCACTGTCTTGAAAATCTTAATAACTTGTGTTTGTGAGCAAAATCTGATTGGTCAATGGAGCATCTTTTGGGGGCTTGGAGCCTGGGCTCATGAACAGTCCCACCCTGGACCATACCTCTCTCTGAGAGAAAAGCTTCCACAGAACTTAGAAGCTGCCAAGTATAACTTCCCACGTCCCCTTACCACCCCTCACTACCATCGCCCCGAAGCCCCAGCTATAAAGTGGAAGAAATACAATTTCCCCGAAACCCATCCCTCCCACAAGGACCATGAATAGACTCCTTTGAGCTCAGATGAAACCTGGAAAAATCCTCAAATCCAAATCTCATGTACCAGGCAGGGAGAAAGCGATCTTCATCTTTCTTAGAAGCACCGCTTTACAGGGAGCACTGTCCTGAGCAGGACAGTGAGGGAATTCACAGCTGTCAGACCGCACATAGCCACCGTGTGGCACTGGAGAGCTGATACCCAGGGTGGTGACCGTGGAGGCCCAGCACACCTCAGTGGTCACCTACTGTGTACCAGCCCCCAGGCTGTGTGGTCCACGCAGGTTACCCCATTTGACCTCAGGAGAGCCTGTGAGGCTTATTGTCACTCTGCTTCACACGTCAGAATATGAGGCTCAGAGAGGGGAAGGCGCTGGCCCAGAGGCCTCAGCAAGAATGCAGTGGAGCTGGGTGTGGACTCCAACTGGGGTGGGGGGGATGTCAAGCCTGGGGCGGGGGGTGGGGTGGCCAGCAAGCTGTCTCCTTTCCCTTGGTCAAGGCTTCACCCCTTCATGAGCACTGGGCTTGGGTTTGAATCACAAGCACCCCCATTTCCTAGCTGCAAGACCTGAGGCAAGTCTTTTTACCTCTCTGAGCCTCAGTTTCCTCATCTGTAAAGTGGGGATGGTGATGCATACCTTGTAGGGTCGCCATGAGGCCTGAATGAAGTGCTGAGTGTAGAGAGCTGGACTCAGGGCCTGCACAGGGTAAGAGCTTCATAAATGGCAGCCGTGAGGACTGTGAGCCATTGGCTCTGACCTCCCCTGTCATGCCCGTCTCCACGGGCACCTCATCAAGGCTGCAGGAAAGCTGGGCCTGGGGGAGCCCCTTTGCCATGCAGTCACCTCTAGGAGATCAGGGACAGGGTCCAATGGTGTCCGTCAGGGCTGGCACTGGTGGCAGGTGGGCGACCCAGCTCCCTGCCCCACCACTAGCCAAAAAAGAGCGATCATCACCCAGGGCCCCGGTGGGAGTGGGGGAGGCTGTACATTTCCAATAAAAGGTGTCGCCACTTCCAAAGTGCTCAGATGAGGGTCTAAAGTTCATGGCACTGCAGCCACCTGCCCCTGCCGTCCTCACACGCCCAGACTCGCACAGTGGCCAAGCGGAAAGGCCGGGGAGCTGCTGACTCAGCAAGACTGGTACCTGCGAACTTGACCTCTGCCTGGCTGCTTCCCAGAGCAGGTGGCCCTCCCTGCTGGCATTGTTCTCACCCTGCCCTTCGTGTCTCTCTCTCCTTCACAGGCAATCAGCAGATCAACGCCATCTCCATCGACCAGGTCCTCTCCAATGAAAACCTCATCAGCTACAATAAGTTTGTCCAGGTACAGGGCCGTGGGCTGTGAGTGGGAGCTGGGCGTGGCTGGGGACCGGGGTCTGAAGCTCACAGTTCATGAAAGCTCAGGCTGGAGCAGGCCCAGATGAGGGCCCCTAAACCCTGACTTTGACCCGAGAGAAAGGAGGGGGTAAGCAGGCACATGTGAGGAGGACAAACATTCCAGGCAGAGGGCACAGCACAGACGAGGCCCTGAGGTGGAACAGAGGGGCCTGGGGTGTTTAAGGACAAGCCAGGAGGCCCACGTGGAGTGCGGGGAGACAGGTCCCACAAGGCCTGGTAGGGCATCACTAGGGCTTTGGCTGTGACTCCGAGTGAGATTGGAGGCCACTGGGGAATTTGAGCAGAGGACTTATGCTTTGAAATGATCTCTCTGCTGCTGTGTTGAGAATATATCTTCTATTACAGCGAGGGGTGGGGAGTGGTGACAGTAGGTCCCAGCAGGAAACATGGCACTCCAAGCGGATAACTGTAGAAAAGTTTAACAAAGAGAATATTTACAAAGACATAGGGAGGATTTGAGGAAATCAACAAAGGCCTGTCGCATATCCCCAGGGTAGAAAGAGGGGAGCCGTCACCACCCCTGGGCCTGGAGGAATTAGGCAAGGAAGATGTTACTGGAACCTGGAGGGGTCACTACAAGAAGAGGCTACGAGACGGCAGCTGGGACTTCACAGCCAACCCACAGTGACCTGACAAGGAGGGAGCTGGGGGAACAAAGATCCCAACTGCACTCTCCTACCAGTCCCCCCACCTTCTGCCAGTGCCCCCATTGGCTGAACCCAACCGGAAGCCTGTGGGTAGGGGAGCCCCTGATTCCCAAGGGGCAGCCTCCCAGGGCACAGAGCAGATAAGATGGGTGACAGTGGGTCCAGTAGAGCAAACAGAATATCCAGCCCAGGGCCTTCCAAGAAGCAAATGCCAAGATGGGGGTTAAACCTGCAAGGATTTTATTAGGGGCAATGCTGCAGGAGGGAAAGAGGAAGGGAGCTGGAGGAGGCTGGGCGAGCTGGTCCTGAGGGAGGAGAGGGAAGGAAGGGTGGATGCATCCTTTACTGCCACACAGTCAAGCTAGGCTCGGCCAAACTGCGGGATTCTGCAAGCCAATCAGCCATCAGAGGGTCCCGGCTCCCAGAAACTGTCTGCCTTAGTATCTTGCGGAGCTCAGCCATTGGCTGTTAGCAGCTGGTGGGAGGTGTGGCCTCGGGCGGGCGCCAGCACAGGAAGGATTTCAGAGCTGTATCTGGGCAGCTGGGCCCTCGGTCAATTCCACTCCCATGGCTGGAGGTCTTCGAGGAGCATTGTCATGGCCGCCACATGAAGCAAGACCAGAAGAAGCCAGGAGGCCAGTGAGGAGGCCGCTGCCGGCAGCCAGGCGGGCGGGGAGGCCTCTCCCCCGGGTGGAAGGGGTAGAGGTAGTGGGGAGGGGTCCGATCGGGGGTATATTTTGGAAGTAGAGCCCACGGGACTGGCTGATGATGGATGCTGAGTGAGAGGAAAGGAGGCATCAAGGATGACCTCAGGGATTTTGACCTGAGCAATGGGTCCATTCACAGAGTGGAAGAACGGGGTGGGGGCATGGGTGGAAATGAAGAGGTTGTCTTTGGACCCGTCACATCTGACGTGCCCGTTAGACACCCAAGTAAAGATGCAAAGTGCTGGTTATGCTGCACGTCTGAGCTCAGCAAAGAGGCTGGGCTCTATAAAGCGGTTGGGAGATAGAAATTTAGGAGTTGTCAGTGTCTGGTGTTTTAAACCATAAGACTGAAGGAGAGGGACTTCCCAGGAGGTGCAGTGGTTAAGAATCCGCCTTCCAGTGCAGGGGACTCAGGTTCGATCCCTGGTCGGGGAATTAAGATCCCACATGCTGAGGGGCAGCTAAGCCCATGTGCCACACCTAGAGAGAAGCCCGCACACCACAACGAAAGATCCCGCATGCCGAAATTAAGACCCAACGCAGCCAAAAAAAAAAAAGACTGAAGGAAATCCCCTAATGAGTGAAGGATCTAGAGAAGGGAGAGGGTCAAGGATGGAACACTCTCACTTGAGCCTGGCTAATGGGATAGGGCTATGAGGGGTGGGACACGGGGCAGGTATATGTTGATGAAGGGGCACAAAGAGAATGTTTGTGTGGAGAGTTGATCTCTGGGCATCCTGCCCGTCCTTAACCAGACATGACCCCTGGGGTTCCCTCCAATACGGGCAAGGTCTCCTACCTCTTCCTTCCTCCTCTCCGAGAGCTGTGTCGACTGGAACTGGGAGGTGCTGAAGCGGGAGCTGGGCCTGACCGACGGTGACATCATCGACATCCCCCAGCTCTTCAAGATGGAGAGGAGAAAGGCGGTGGCCTTCTTCCCTGACTTGGTGAGACCACCACCCGTGACCTGAGGTTTCATCAAATTAAGCTCTGAGCCTCTGCTCCCCAGTGGGCAAGACGATTGGTCGCCGCCATGTTTGGGACTGTGGTGGCTGGTAGCGGCGGCAGGGAGAATCAGAGGTCCCATGGTGCCCAGCAGAAGGACTTCCTCTTCACTGATTGTCATGGTCACTATGAAATGCTCCTTGGCCAAGCCCTTGCTCAGGGACCATCAGGGAAGGGCTCTTCTCTCCTCCCAGGGACCCACTTGATATTTGTGGAGTGAATGAAAGATTGCATGAGGCTGTGCATGTAAAGCATGTCGTATCCACTGGGAGCTCAGGTGCCCATTCTGCTCCCTTTCTCCCAGTAAACAGCTATTCACCATCCTCCACATATTTAGGGTACCCTGTGTGAGACACACAGATGATTAAGGCTGCTCCCTGCTCCCAAGGAGCTGCCGGTCAAATCTGTTCAGGGGAAAACTCTCTTCACCTCTCTGAGGATGTGTCCCAACAATCTACTTTGTATAATAAAGTGATGTGGCAGTTCAGAGATGGGACAAAGCACTTCCGGCCCAAGAGGTAGGACTGGAGATCCAAGAGGGCTTCATGGAAGAAGTGGCCTTTGATTGAGCCCTGAGGGCTTTGCCTCTGAAACTTGAACTTGCATCTGGAACACCTGGACCACTGGGCCCTCGCCCCAGGGGTTCTGATCCAGCAGGGGCCTGAGACACTGCTGCCTTTCTAACAAGCAAGCATCCAGGTGACGCTTACTGCTCTCTGAGGACCACACTTTGAGATCACTGCTGTCAATCACTCGGCTTCCTCCTTCTTCTTTCCCCTACCCTTTCAAACCCTCTACACCTCCATCCCCCAGAGGAACTAGACTCACCCATCATCAGAGGCTTGCAGGGAGCCTGTCCACACCACCATTGCTTTATCCCTCCTTCTTTCCTTCCCCTTTCTGGCTTTTTGCTCACTTTGATTTCCCCACTTGTAAAGCCTCTCATCACTCCTTTTCCTTCCAGCATCTGTAAGGAGGCCTTGCAATTATGTCTGTGTCCCCAAGAAGCTTGTGCACTGGTCCAGATTCTTGTGTTTGCAGGAGGACCACCCAAGCCAGCTTCAGCCAGAGCAAAAGATTCAGTATAAGGACACCAGGAAAGCCAGGGGCAGCTGTGGGGGACATCAGGAGCGCGTGGAACCATTTCTTGTCTCTGCGTCTACATCATTCATCCCTCTCCTTCCCTGCTTCTCCTCCTCCATTTCCTGGCTTCCTTTGCTTCTCTATCCCTGGGGATGAATATTAATATGGCCACATATAAGTATAGACACAGGCAGAGATTGACTCAACTCTCCCACCATATCAACTTCAAACACCCGAGGAGAGAATCTGATTGATCCAGCTGGGGTCATACGTCTACCCTGGTCCAATTGGCTACAGCATAGGAGTTTGGGATTCTGTAGCACAGACATGGCAGCCACCATGACCCACCAATATGGAGGGCAGTCACCAGAGAAATAAGTTGTCATTGTGAACTCTGCAGACGTGCCCATGGCAATGCACAGCTGGCCAGATTTCCTAGCAGCCCAAGTTCTTCTCCCACTGCCTGGAGAGGCGAGTAGCTATTTGCAAGCCTGCCTCAAAGACAAACCCAGGTCCTGCCGGGTATAGTGAGGGTGCTGGGGTGGGAGCTGATGATGAAGTGCCGCCCCTGACTTGGGCTCCCCCTTTGTTGTAGGTGAACATGCTAGTGCTGGGGAAGCACCTGGGCATCCCCAAGCCCTTCGGACCCATCATCAACGGCTGCTGCTGCCTGGGGGAGAAGGTGCGGTCCCTGCTGGAACCGTTGGGCCTCCAGTGCACCTTCATTGACGACTTCACCCTATACCACAAGCTGCACGGGGAGGTGCACTGCGGCACCATCGTGCGCCGGCAGACCTTCTCCTTCAGGTGGTGGAACGTGGTGCCCTGAGCCCATCCCCCCACCATCCTTTACCCCTGGGGTGGGATGTCGGCCTGGGTGATGGAGACTGAGACAGGCCCCTGAACAATAAGTGTCAAGAGACTCCAGGTTTCCAGATGGAACAGCCTCTTGGAAGCCTTTTCCTCAGAGGTGTTCACGCCTCACCTGCAACCCATTTGGTTTTCAGCCTTGATTCCCCTTGGCCTCCCAATAAGAAGGACCTCATTTCTTGTGGCCTCTCATGCGGACTCCTCCAAACATCCCCCTCCCCCTTCCCCCAGATCCTCTGTATGGGGCCTAATTCACTTTGGGGTCTAGAAACATCCATGCATCTCCTCTGCCCTCTTGGCCTGTGTGTCCTAACAGAGGAAGGACCCACAATCCTGCTTTGGTCTGATTGCCTCTGGAGCTACAGGGGAACTAACGTCCTAAAGTCACAGGACAGAGATTCAGCCCATAGCCTCACCGACAGGAAAGGAGCAGATGCGGGACCAGCATTCCAACTCCCAGGCTCCTGACCAGGTGTTGAACGCCACCCCCGCCCAGTGCCCAGCAGGAGCTTTAACAGAGTAGGTGCTTCTAGATGCATGTTGAAGCAATGGGAGTCACCCCTTACCTAGCCTTAGAAACATCTCATCATCGGATGTTCAGAAACCTGACTTGGTTCTAAGACCTCCTGGAATTTCTTGGAGATGAAAATATCTGGGGAATTCCCGGAGATTGGCAAGACTGGGTGCAAGGGTGAAAAATGTCCTTCATAATACATGGGGTGCGTCAGTGGCCCTGGGTCCTCTCTGCAGGAGGGGAGAGCCCTGGTAAAATCAGTCCTAGGCTTTCTGTTGACTCCTGGTCAATATTTCCATATCTTGCTCCACCTCGGGAGAGGGGGGCCTGGTGGGCCGGACCCACCGAGACGGCTCACAAGGGGGCAACTCTGGGAATGAAGCGCTCTGAGCGCAGGGGAGTGGGGGGAGGGGCTGGATGGTTTTCTCCAGATGTGTGTCAGTTACATGTGTGTTGTGTGGGTCCAGCTGTGTTTCCATCCCTGGCTAATAAAGCTACAGAAACACAAATGGTTTGAGTCTAATTTGGGCCCTTCTTTGGGCTTAGAACACAACAGCAAGAACAGAGAAGTTCTTTTGCGGCTGAAGTATTTACTTGCCTGGCCCCCAGGAAGGTGAGGCTGAGAAGCCCAAATTTTGGTAAGACTGTGAGGTCGCTGCATCTTGGCCACAGGATGAGTTAGGGCCACCGTGGACAGGTGCAATGATACGGATGCATAAATGCAAGCCCAGGGGTCAAAGGTCAGGCTGCCAGGACCAAGTGAGCACGGCGGGGTGAGGGTCTGGGCTGTGGCCGGAAGGTTGCATCATGAGTGTGGCAGTGAGGGAAGCCAGCGTATGTGGAGCGTGGAGAGGCCTGCCGTGTGCCCTCAGCGACATCCTCCTTCCTGCCCATGGGGAGGCCATGAGCACCCCATGAAGGCCCCGGCGGGCTTGCTCTAGAGCCCCAGGAAATCGCTCTCTTTGCTTGTCCCTTCCAAGCCCTGTATTCTCTCCGGAGACGCAAAACCCATAAAAACTCAAGCTGGCCCTAGGGCTGGGTTTTGCCAGGCAAAAATCTCTAACCTCAGGAGTTTACATCTAGGGAGGTAGCAAGAAAAGAAACACAAATAGCTGAGTGCCATTAAGTGGAGGAAGTGAGGGCCAAGAAGTAAAGGGGATAGGGACTTGCTTCAGCAGGATAACTGTCACCTCTCAACGGAGGTGACATTTGAGCTGAGACTGGAGGATGACACCAAGCTGCGGGTAAGCAGGGGAGCAAGCTTCTGGGCACTGGGAACTGCTGTGCAAAGGCCTGGAAGTAGGGGAGCATAGGCAGCACAGGCAGGACCAAAAGCCCTGGATGGGGGTGTGTGGAGGGATTAGACGAGGAGGAGGCCTGTTTTCCTGTAGCCCTACTACGCCCATCTTGAAGCATGTTGTCCCTCTCCACTCCCCCTCTCCAGGGGCTCACTCAGGGGTGGGCAGGAGAGGGTGGAGCATGCCCAGGCACTCTGCCCGCCCAACAGAGTTCCTGGACAAAGCAATATGGCACAGTGAAAAGGCCACGTGCCTCGGAGTCAGATGACCCGACGTTGAACTGACACTTCTCAGCTGCGCACTTAACCTCTCTGAGTCTCAGTTTCCTCCTCTGTAAAATGGGCATGATAATTGTGCCTGCCTCACAGAGCTTGAGTGGGGTTTAAGTGAGGTGCCTAGTAGCACAGTGCCTGGCACGTAGTAAGTGCTTGATAAAAGATCACTGTTGTTATATAACACCCCCTGGACCATCCCCAAATGATGGCTCTGCATATATACTCCTGATTTCTGCATTCAGATAGGGGACAAAGACCCTCTGAGACCCAGAGGTCAGATTTGGGAGGAAGGGAAGGGAAGGGAAGGCTGTCCTGGCAACTCGCAGGTCATATCCTGCTGGGCTCAGTTGCATAAGGTTGACCCAGGAGGAGGCTCCTGCCCAGAGAGGAGTGAGAGCCTGTCTTTCTTGTAGAGATTTACAACTTGGGCGGCACTGGGCCCGCCTAACTCATGCTTTATTCAGAATCAGGAATAAGTAACTGCAGGAGGTTGCCCACCCCTGTGGTCTCCTGCCCCTTCCCCGGCAGCCCCGGAGGGCGGGAGTGTCAGGTGGGATTGCTGGGGCTCCAGGGTAGGGTGGCCGGAAAGGAATTCTGGACGACTGGACCGAGTCAATGGAACTGTCATTTCCTGTAGGGTCAATGTCATCCACATCTCCTACAGCGGAATGATGGTGAGTGTGAGCTGTGTGCTGGGCGTGTACCAGAGACACTTTACACGCATCATCTCATTTGCTCTTCATGACAGGCTAATAGGTAGTTGCAATTATTAGCCTCACTATATAGACAAGGAAACCGAGGCACAGAGAAATGAAGGAAACTGCCTGGGTCACAGAGCTATGAAGTGGGGGTGGCAGGTCTGAGCCTGGACAGGTGACCTCCATAGCCTGGGTTCTCAACCAGCCACTCCAGTGGTTCTCAAATTAGAATCACCTGGAAGGCTCTTAAAAACTAGCAGGAAAAAAAAAAAAGAAAGAAAAGGGAATTCCCTGGCGATCCAGTGGTTAGGGCTCCGTGCTTTCACTGCAGAGGGCCCGGGGTTCAATCCCTACCCGGGGAACTAAGATCCCACAGGCGTGGCCAAAAAACAAAACAAAACAAAACAAAAACCCACCTCAAAAAAAAATGAAAACCTAGCAGAGTCCTCCTCCCCCTTGGAGATCCTGTCTGGATGTTGGGATGTTGTAAAAAGCTGCCCGGTGATTGTGCCTTGTGGCCAGCGTGGAGTAACAGCGACCCCTGCCATATTGTCCTCCTAAGCATCTCTGCCCCACCCCTGCCCCGGTACCCCTCCCCCAGTCTGGAATCAGCAGTTTCAGGGGGTCGTGGTTCCCCTTTTGTGGCAGCCACTCAGGCTGTGGTGGCACCTTCAACAACCAGACAGTTCCTGCTACAGTCAAATTTTCTTGCTGGGCCAGAGGTTCTTAAACAGAGTGCACACAAGATTTCCTGGAAGAGTCATTAAAAATACAGATTCCTGGGCCCCCAACCCCTCCAGCCAGGCCTCCCGAGGCCAGATCCCTGGGCCTGGGCAACTGTATATTGTAAAACTTCCCAGATGGTTCTGATGCACACCTGGGTTGAAACCCCAACCCTTTCCTATTCATCGTGGCAAAAACTCCTGGATACAAAGTGAACGTTTATCAAGAGGGTGTCTTTGAACACATTCTGGTATATTTCACACCTTGGACTGTTACACTGTCATTTAACAAGAACCAGTAGGAAGTATCCCAACTGACTTGGAGAAATTTCCACAAAGTATCGAGTAAGAAAGACGAGACACAAAATAGTTTGTGCAACACAAAATAGTTTGTGCATTATGACGTAAGCGTGGTCACTGTGACCTCAGAGCCACGCCCCCCCCGCCCCCCGTGTGTGTATGTGTGTGTGTGTATCGATTGATGATTATACGATCATGGAAAAAAACATGGACCGGTCCACCCCAGATGTTAGCATGGGTGTGGCACGGAGCAGGAAGAAGCCAAGCAGACAGGCAATGGCTTAAAAAAAAAAAAAAAAAAAAAGCTAAAAAGTAGGGTGCGTTTTGGCCACACATGTGATTTACTTATTTTAATTACATTGGTGTGTATATGTATAAAAGCTTTTTATAAAAAAATAAAAATGAGCTGTGTTTTGGGCCAAAGACCGTGGCAACCCTCGGAAATCAAAGTCCAGGTCGAAGTCCTGGAGAGAGTATAAAGGACAAGATAGCCCTTGTCACAGTACAGACCACAGGGAGCCTTTTCCTCCATGGAGCCCGCAGTGACCCAGCACCAAGTGATACTTGGATCAGGAAGGAAATAAATGGGACATGGGGCTGGGAGCCACAGGGGATCTACCTTCAACAAGAGGTCAGGGAGGCCTTCTGAGGAGGTGGCATCTCAGACTGGGTTGGAAGGCTGGGAAGGAGCCAGGTGGAGAGAGGGGACCGTGCCAAAGTCCTGAGTGGGGACTGGCCTGACATGTTCTAAAACCTGGCCAAAGGCCTCTAGGGAGGGAGCGTAGGAAATGAGGAGAGTGGCGTGGGTGATGGTAGAAGAGAAGGCAGGTCCCCATCTCTGGGGTCTGGTAGGCCACAGTGATGAGCTTGGCTGTCACTCTGATGCAGTGGGGACCCCTCTAAGCAGGGTCTACGTTGTTTTAAAGATTGCTCTAGACGTGGAACAGTTTAGTGTGAGATTTGGGGGTAAGGAATGGGATGGGAGCAAAGACACAGGTCAGAGGGCTGCACGTTAGTTCAGCCAGAGAAGTGACCCTGTTCAACTCTCCATTTGTGTGAAAACAGGAAGCAGTAGGCTTGCTGATGGACAGGAGGTGGGAATGGGGAGAGGCAGGGTCAGCTGCCAGGTTTCCAGACTTATTACTTATTGAT